AGGTAGTAACTCAATTCACTCTTAGCTCACTATTTTCAATGTGAAGCATCTCAAATGTTTTCACCATTTGTTCGAGTCACTCATCTACTTTCTTGGGCTTGGGGCCACCATGGAACTCATCCGATTTGGCCCGCAAAAACTCTCTAGTGAGAAAACTCACCCTTGTCTCTACGGCGTTCTGTTGGGCTTGGTTCTCCGCCCTCAACAAATTCATCGATTCCCTCAAAGCCCCCACCATTTCTCAGGCTAGGGCCCCCATTGTGGCTTGACTCGCGTATTCCGAAATCCCGCTTGCCCTACTTGCTCGGCCATATTAGCTTGGCCCGCTTGTTTGGCATCATTAGCTTGGCCGAACCTTTCTTCTTGCATCAGAACCTCATGGACCGGTACTTCATGCACACCTCCACGAGGCCTATCGCGCATCCCGCCTCAACCACCACGGGCTTGACCCTTTCCTAACATCCTAATTAAGGAATAAAGTAAGCCATTTAGCACACGAACTCAAATGTGCTCGCAACTTGCCTCACACGTTCGATCACAACAATTCTATATATTTTCTTACCACATAAGCAATTTAGTTTCACTCCACATAAGCACTTAGTCATATAAACATATACAAATTATTCCTTTACAATGAAATTCATCCCACGAAATACTAAGAATTCTCAGTAGAACGAGTATTGATCAAGTACCCTTCTAATAAGATCTCAAGGAATTTAATAGGCGCAAACCACATCCCAAAAGTTCAATCCCATACCCATCTAGTCCTATAAGAATGTTATCACATAACCACAAAAATATAGAACATCTCCTAATCAAGCAAAATGAACCCATTGTGGCAAAACAACCACTTTCCACGAGCTCCAAGTATTCAAACCCGGTAGCTCTGATATCAAGTTATAATGCCCCAAAATATACACAATAAAAGTACACCAATTACTGCTCCTTACGGTAGACAAAAGTAAATCTCCAACACGTATATACATGGTCATAAGAGATTTACAAAATAGTTCCACATGTAAATATATATATTAAATGACTTTAGTACATGAATCTATAACATGTAAAACATCCTATCAAAAGTACTAAATGCCATCAAGGGCTACAAAGTCCAAGGTTTAAATCCGGTTACACAAAATAGTTGCTCGAACCCACACAAATATAGCCCTTGGCTTACAAAAATATAATCACAACAAAAACAAGAGCCTTGTGCTCTCAACTTACACAGCCACACCCTTAGTTTGGCGGAGTCACCACATCTTTTCTTGCACAAAATCCCATAGGGTGAGCATAGCGCCCAGTAGGAAATTCTTAACAAAGTATACACGTTTAGTACAAGTCTCATGAGATGAAATGCACATGCCAAACTATGCTAAAAAAAAGTTGCATCTTCATCTTTTGTTAGCCATCATGCACAATGAAATTTTGAAATTTCGACAATTCAAAAATTTTAAATCAAGTTCAAGGGGCGGTAAATATGACTTAGGTAATCCCTAGGTTGGTGTCTGCAAATAGGCATAATTAGCACTACCAAATCCCCACTTTACTGGTAGCTAACAAGAAGGCACGTGGTACCTCATCCGTGCATGTTTTCGATCTTTCACCCTGAACACTCAAGCTAACTTAATCAATTTCATCTACACCCCCTATCCGAACTTAACAATGTATTTACCCCAAAAATAATTTAATGAGATCTTGTTTCACAAATATTTCTTTCTCAATGCAAAAGTTTTCAAATTTCAATTCAAAATTTGCAACAACCAAATGAATTGAAATGCCAATGCAACATATATCATTTCAATAAAATATTCTTCCATTTTCCAATTCTTCCACACAAATTTTCCATTGTGATCACAATTTCCATTTCTTTTTCCAATGCAATTTCACAAGATAAACATATATTCGTTTATATCTATCAAAGAATAACAACATTTTCACATTTCATGCATTCACAACAATTTAGTCATTTCATGACTATGCCCACATTTTTAAACAATAAACTTCAAAACCAACATTTTCTCATATTTCATGGAATTTCTCATTTATATGCAACAATATGAAATTCCCAATCATTCATTCATTGAACACTATAATAAGCAAAAACCCATGAATTCTCAACATCTTTTCCAAAAAATCTCCATTTCCAAGTTTTCACCAAAACTAGGCATTTCCTCACCTTTAAAAAAATAAAAAATAAAAATTCTCTCCAAAGCCAACATATATCATTTCAATAAAATATTCTTCCATTTTCCAATTCTTCCACACAAATTTTCCATTGTGATCACAATTTCCATTTCTTTTTCCAATGCAATTTCACAAGATAAACATATATTCATTTATATCTATCAAAGAATAACAACATTTCACATTTCATGCATTCACAACAATTTAGTCATTTCATGACTATGCCCACATTTTTAAACAATAAACTTCAAAACCAACATTTTCTCATATTTCATGGAATTTCTCATTTATACGCAACAATATGAAATTCCCAATCATTCATTCATTGAACACTATAATAAGCAAAAACCCTTGAATTCTCAACATCTTTTCCAAAAAATCTCCATTTCCAAGTTTTCACCAAAACTAGGCATTTCCTCACCTTTAAAAAAATAAAATATAAAAATTCTCTCCAAAGCATTTTTTTTTTCTCACAATGTAGTTCAAACTCCCAAGATTTTTTTTGAAAACAAAGTATAAACCCACTTTTAAAAATCATCAACACTCTTGAGTCAAAAATCAAATTTCCATACTACCAAAGAGAGTTCCCAAAATCAACATAATCTTGCAAAAATATATATATAACTCGAAGAAAATCCTCACCTCAAGTTTTGGAGAACAAAAGAGAAGAAACTCCCAAATTTGACGGTATTGAAATCCAATCTCCACCTCAAAAAATGAAGCCCTCGGTTAGCTCTCCAAAATTAATGAAGGGTTTTGGGTCAAAACTCCATTGGATTGGAAGAAATTAAGAGTTATGATATTTGGTGAAGGTTTTTAGAGAGAAGTAAGAGGAAAAGGTATTTTTAGAAAGAGAGAGAGAGATGTGTAAAAAGTGAGATATACTCAGCCTAAGAAGAAAGAAAAAGGCAGATTTTCGGACTCAGTGTTCTTCCATACGTGTGGCACCAATTCCCGCACGTGCGGCACACCATTCCCCACGTACGGCATTTACCCCCACACGTGAAGTTCATCCCTCCGCACCTGACCTCCGCTCATGCAACAAAAGCAGTCTTGCACCATCGACCCTCCCTCCTCTCCGCACTTACGGCCTCACCTCCCGTACGTGCGGTCCCCTTTCCGCACATGCGGCCCAAGCCCCCGTATGTGTGGTTTTACCTCGCAGCTAGAAAATTCACCATCTCAACCCATGACACCCCGGATCCAACCTTGCACCTTCCAAAACAAGTGAAACTCGACTCTGTAATAAAGTAAGGATAAGAATTTTGAAAAAGGTTTTCAAAAATGATAAACCCAAACGGTTGACAAGGCCTCAAGTTAATCCCCGACACTCTAATATGAGTAATTCCCAACACAAATTAAAGAAGAACGAGACGGGTTACGTATTTGGTCATCACAACAGTCATTGTGTTTTTAACCCAAAAAAAAAAAAGAAAAAGAAAAAAGAATTAAGTGATAAGGAAGCCTTAAGGGTATAAGCATGCCTTGGGAGGGCAACTAAGGAGATGGCCACATGGTGATGCCACGTGGTACTTTGGCCAAATGAATTGAATCAGGTGCTGGTAAAGCACCTATAAATGGTTGCATGGAGCAAGAAAGAAGGGAACAAGAGAAAGTGTGGTCAGCCTGTAAAAGGAGGGAGTTTTGGTAAATGGAGAAGTAAAAGTAAAGGATTAATATTAAGGTGAGTTATATTGTACCTTGAATAATCAAAAAATGTTTTATTGTTTTATGAATTATTTTATGCCAATCATTCTTTATAAATTATATTAACATTTTAACTATGTTATTGATTTATGAATCCTATTTGTTCAAAAAATGGAAACCCATGGATATAACTATTTATTAAATGTGTTTTTAAGCAATTATTCTATAAATACTACCACGGAGGTCCCATGTCCTGGTGGACTTAAATAACCATTGACCCTCTGAATTGTTACTTTAGTGACCTCTGATGGTCCCATGCCTCGGGGGACTTAAATAATCATTGGCCTCTGATTAGTCACTTTGTGACCCTCTGTTTGTCATGGATCAATTGACTCTCTGTTCTGTTCTATTTTGTATCGTGGTTATGATTATTTTGCTATAATTATGTATTTTGTTTATGTTATTTAAATGATTTACTTGCACCAAATTGTTCTCTATTTGGACTAAATAATTATCCATGGTGATTTTATACCCTTATACTCTCAGTATAATATTTCTCACTCTACCTGTGCTTATTTTTGTTATCCCCTTTCAGGTGATGAAATGTAAGGAACAGTGGTAACCTCGTGTAATGGGATTAGCACAGGACTTAATGAGGACATTTTGTATTTGTTTTGTAATAATTGTCCGATCATCAATAAAATAAATAAAAGACCTAAGGAATGTTTTTATAAAAATTATGGAGTATTTCGATTATTTATTTACCTATGTAATTTATTTACTACTTTATCTTGTCTCCGCATGCGCCACTTAATTTGTTAACATTAGAATTAATTAGTTAGTTGCGAATCCAGCCCTAAGCACTCGGGGTTGGGTCGTGACATATACATGCGTCCTCCCTCTGGCTTTCCTTATTCCTCTGGACAAGTTTGTCGTCTTTGGCGTGCTTTGTATGGTTTGATGCAATCTCCTCGTGCTTGGTATGATCATTTTCAGATAGCTATTACTGAGCTTGGGTTTCATCCTTGTGCCCACGACTCTACCTTGTTTCTCCTTTACACCTCTGTTGGTTTTGTTGCTTTATTACTGTATATGGATGATATGATCATCATTGACTTTGACTCTTCTGCTATCTCTGAGGTATATCAGCATCTTTTCGCACTTTCGAAATGAAGGATCTAGGACCCTTGCGGTATTTTCTTGATATTGAGGTAGCTCCTTCTCCCAAGGGCTACTTTCTATCTCAGGCCAAGTATGCCAATGAGGTTATTCACTGTGCCAGTCTTATTGACACTAAGATTTCTGATACCCCCACTGAACTTAATGTGAAGCTCAACACTACTGATGGTGTCTTTCTGGATGATCCCACTTTATATCGTGAGCTTGTGGGTTGCTTAGTCTATATGACAGTTACTCATCCTAATCTTGCCTATGATGTTCATGTGGTTAGCCAGTTTGTTTCTACTCCTCGCTCTATGCATTGGGCTGCTTTGGTTCGAATTCCTCACTATCTTCGCGATACTATCTTCCAAGGCTTGTTGTTATCTTCTACTTCTCCCTTAGAGTTAGTGGCTTATACTGATGCTGATTGGGTTGGTGATGTTATTGATCGTAAATCCACTTTTGGTTCTGTATGTTTCTTGGCGATTCCTTGATCTCTTGGAAAAGTAAGAAACAAACTATTGTTGCACGGTCTACTACTGAAGCTGAGTACCATGCTATGGCTCATACTACTGCTAAAGTTCTCTGACTTCATCGTCTTCTCTCTGACTCAGACGTCCCTCAGTCTTCTCAGACCTCCTTCTATTGTGACAATCACAATGCTATTCAAATTGCACATAACACAATCTTCTATGAGCGGACTAAGTACATTGAGATTGATTGTCACTTTGTTCGTCAGCATCTGCAGTCTGACTCTATTTCGCTTCCTTTCGTCTCTTCGGCTCTACAACTTACTAACTTCTTTATCAAAACTCACCCCACTGCACTGTTTCAATTTCTTCTTGGCAAACTCTCACTGTTTTCTGCTAAAACACCTTGAGTTTGAGAGGAGGTGTGAGAATATTGTGTATATATGTGTATATAGTAATGTATTGTGTATATATTCTGAGAAATTGTGAGAGATTGGGTGAATATTTTCGTTTCCTTTTTAGTCTTAGGGTTAGGAGTACTATATAATTAGATATATCCTTTGCATTACAACACAATTGAATATATAGAAAACTTACAGTTTCTAGTATAATGAGAGGTTTAACTTGGAAATTAGGCTGTCTATAGTTTTAATTGTATGTGCAGGTGAAAGGTTTAGGCTCTCTACATTTTCATATACATTACTCATTGTTGAGAAATGCTTTGACTTTTGGGTGTGGCCCTTTAGAGGTATTGAATGGGTTTAGACTTCTTTAGCAACATGTGGTTGTGGTGTGTTAGTTATTAAGATTAGAAAAATAAATGGAAGTGTTTTAGGTGTTTGATACCATGCAGTCAACTTAGCCGCCCCCCCCCCAAACACACAAAAACTAACAAAGAAACTAAAATAAACCTTGATATTAGATTTTGAGCCCGAATGTACTCCTGTAATATATATATATGTGTGTGTATATATATATTTTTTAAAAATTGATAGTAATGCAATTATAGTCACTAGCTCTATCTGTGTTCAGCATGGTTTGGATGTAGCCAGGGAGTATTGTGGGTGTACTTCACAATTACAGAGGGGGTCGGGTTGGGAAGAGGTGTAGAAAGGCATGGACTTTGCCACCTTTTGTGTTTGAAGTGGATGATTTGGTTGAAACGGAATCAATGTATTTTTCAGGGTGTGAATGAGTCAGTGGTTTGTATGACGACTCGATTTCTGGTGATTCTGTATAACTCGGTGACGGGGATTGTGTCTCCAGATTTGTTTACTTTTGTTGATTTTATAGATGCCTTCTTCTTTTGGGTTTTGGGTTTTTTGATAGTCTTGGATGTATTCATTAGCATCGGCTTGATGCTCGTTCATTAATAAAATTATAGTTATTTATCCCAGAAAACATAATTACCAGCTCCATCTGATTCAAGCTTATACATTATGAAGAAATGGCCTTGAAAAATGGAAAATTATTGAGTGATCTTGGAGCACCAACTCATTTAACCAACGTGGTGCTCCAAGCCAATACCAATGCACCATGACATCAACACGTCGATGGATCTGCCATGCGGGCAATCCCATCTCCCCACTTGAGAAGCAGTAACGTTGTCAACTTGATTCAATTTTTTAAAAACATTTCAACTTCCTGCTTAACATTCAAAACGTAGAAGTTTGAAATTGTTTTTATCTTTCAAAGTCAGGTAAATGAGTCTGATCGCTCTCTCTCCCTCTCCTAGTTGATCTCTCCATCTTCTATCACCATTGTTGACCGGCACAACCAACGACCACTGGTGCTAACGCCATGCTTTAGCCACAGTGTGGGCACAGCCACTTCACGCAAGCTCCACCACAGTGCAACTCTTCTCTCTTCCTCTCTCTCTCTCTCTCTCCCCCTACCAATTTTTTATGACATGGTTTGGATGTAGCCAGGGAGTATTGTGGGTGTACTTCACAGTTGGAGAGGGGGTCGGGTTGGGAAGAGGTGTAGAAAGGCATGGACTTTGCCACCTTTTGTGTTTGAAGTGGATGATTTGGTTGAAACGGAATCAGTGTATTTTTCAGGGTGTGAATGAGTCAGTGGTTTGTATGACGACTCGATTTCTGGTGATTCTGTATAACTCGTTGACGGGGATTGTGTCTCCAGATTTGTTTACTTTTGTTGATTTTATAGATGCCTTCTTCTTTTAGGTTTTCGGTTTTTTTATAGTCTTGGATGTATTCATTAGCATCGGCTTGATGCTCGTTCATTAATAAAATTATAGTTATTTATCCCAGAAAACATAATTACCAGCTCCATCTGATTCAAGCTTATACATTCTGAAGAAATGGCCTTGAAAAATGGAAAATTATTGAGTGATCTTGGAGCACCAACTCATTTAACCAACATGGTGCTCCAAGCCAATACCAATGCACCATGACATCAACATGTCAATGGATCTACCATTGCGGGCAATCTCATCTCCCCACTTGAGAAGCAGTAACGTTGTCAACTTGATTCAATTTTTTAAAAACATTTCAACTTCCTGCTTAACATTCAAAACGTAGAAGTTTGAAATTGTTTTTAACTTTCAAAGTCAGGTAAATGAGTCTGATCGTTCTCTCTCCCTCTCCTAGTTGATCTCTCCATCTTCTATCACCATTGTTGACCGGCACAACCAACGACCACTGGTGCTAACGCCATGCTTTAGCCACAGTGTGGGCACAACCACTTCACACGAGCTCCACCACAATGCAACTCTTCTCTCTTTCTATCTCTCTCTCCCTACAAATTTTTTATGACAATCATTAAACTGGCAACATTTTTCAAAGGAATTTCGCATTCTTGCATCAATTTTGCTAGAATTCAGTGTAAAAAACTTAGTTCCTTCACTTGTATCCTACACACCAGCTGTTTGTAGAAATGCTTATAAGAATGTGTCCCTCTCCATAATAAAAATTCCTTATGTACACATTCTTACATGCACGATTACTGTTTTGTTCCTTTGATTTTGGCAGGCAACTTTGGCATTGATTATTTACTAATCATGATTTAACATGTAAATGAAGTTGCCCGTATTTTATTTTATTTCATTGCAAGCTCAGATCAAATTTCTCTCTTTGATTAGAGAAGACATTGATCAACTTTGGCATTGATCAAATTTCTCTCTTTTATTCCATTGCAAGCTCTGATCAATTTTTCTTTTTTGTGTTCCAGACTTGATTAAAGAAGACATAAGAGGTTGCCAGGAAGGCTAGATTGACTAGACAAATGCAAGTAGAGGACTTTAAGGCTGTATTTGATTTAACTTTCTAAAACTAATTTTATCCTTACATTTTAATGCTATGTTTGGTTTAAATTTTTAAATCATAATTCCAAATCAATTTTAAAACACATTTTGAAAACATGTTTGGTAAACCAAACAATTTGTGAATTTTTGGTTTATTTGGTCGTTTGCTCGGACATCATTGGCAATTGTGAAAAAGAAAGAAAAAGAATTGTTCCGGTCAACCAATTTTGCAATTGCCAATCACCATTTTTTATTTGAAAAAAAATATATTATATTTATTTTTGATATTTTTAAATATATAAATTATTTTTTTAGACTAAAATGAAAAATTATTTGTTTAAATTGAATTTTAAAAAGAGTTTAGTTATGAGTTTTGAAAAAAAAAGTTTAATAGAGTTTTGAGTTGTGTGTTTAATTATGAGCTATAAGTTTTGAAAGTTATTTTCAAAACTCATAACCAAACAACGTTTTTCATTTCATGTGTCACATTAAAAATTTAATACTCAATTCAAAACTCTTTTTAAAACTCATAACCAAACAAATTTTTTATTTTCAAATCATAATTTCAAAACTTACAAACTTAAAATACAATTCTATTCTCAAATCATAATTTTAAAATTCTATTAAATACTACCTAAAATTTTCAAAAGTAGCTCAAAAATGAAGCTGCCTGTATTTTCTTTTTTCTTCATTTTCCTGAAGATGTTTCAAAGATAATGGATTTATGTACATATGCCCTTTAACCAAAAGAAATTAAGGTTGCTTGTGGTTTAATTTTGAAATTGTGATTTTCTTATTGAAATTATGATCTGAGTGTGTAATTGTAAGTTAAGTTTTGAAAAGAGAAAGTTTGTTTGGTTGTAAGTTCTGAAAAGAATTTTTTAATTTTGAAAAGAGTTTTCAAAAGAGTTTTGAGTTTTGAGTGTCCCAAAAATTTCAAAATACAACACAAAACTCAAAATACAACTCAAAACTCATAATCAAAAATGACTCCACACTCAAATCATGATTCCAAAAAAGGTTAGGCTTCCCTCCAGTCCGTGATCGGACTAGAGGATATTGTTGGGCCCGTGTGGGCCCACCACAAGTTCTATCACGACCCGCTCCTTGTACCCAACGGTTAGCATCGTAATAGCCAGTAACTGAAGTTACCTCCGACCTATTCTTAAACAAATTACTAGACGCAAGCGAAAAAAAAATATTTAAGTGAGGGTACCAAAATAATTATTGGAGCTTCTATTTAATTAAATTGTCAGAACTGAACTGTCTCTACAAAGTGCTTTGTGCCTACCCCACGCGTTGGCCCTGACATGTCACTTGAAAGTGGTAAACAACTATAAACACATGGCATAGTGAGAAATATTATACTAAGAGCATAATGGCATAAAATCCACCCTGGATAATTATTGGCTAAACAAAACTTGATATTAAAATGCAGAATATATAATGCGGCGATCATTTGATATATAATACAGAAATCATATAAATAAAATATTCATAACCACGGTATGGAACGAAATAGAACAGAACAGATGTATGAACTCAAGAGGTGGCTCCCACCATAGTGTAGCACCCACCATAGTGTAGCACTTAGCTCTGTATAACACTTTACTGTAAAAATTTCAAAATTTAAGTTGCCCCTTAAAATTTATATTAGTATTATTTAATTATAAATGAGAACAACCCTAAAGGTTTCATTAAATATTCTGTAAGAGTAAAATAAAATATTGAATATTATGATTGTATGTAATAAAATGAAATTTAATTAGAAATTATATATTATGAAAATAATATGGTATATAATTAGTTTAAAAGATTATGCCAAATTAGAATTAAATTAAAGATTAAAATAATAATAATAATAGTCCCTACATATGCTCCTGCCAAACATATAGATGGATGACTATGTAAGTATAGTTTTAAAGACTTTGGCGAGTCACCTAATCTAACCTAGTCTAGAGGGACAGGTGAAAGTAAACAAATTATCACTTGTTGGGTATAGGCCACGCGTTAACTTTTGATTAGGGACTAAGGTTTCACCGATTATCAATAGCGGGATTTAGTGGGTTGCTAAGCGGAGGAAAAATGATATAACTAAAGGCAACATATAAAGAAACATGAAGTCAATATGAGGAAAGTAAAGGTTAATGGTTAATATTTAGGTGAGTTAAGCCTGTGTTTGGCAAGGGCTTTTTCAGGTTTTTTTGGTTATTTTAGTCACAAAAAATAAAATAGGCTATTTTAGCCATAACAAATAAAACATCACATCCAACCTATAATCATTACATTTTTCTCTCACAAAAAAAGTCAAAAAAGTCAAAAAGCCAAAAAGCCCTTCCCAAACCAAGCTTTTTAGCCCAGGCTAAAATAGCCAAAAAAGCCAAAAAGCCAAAAAGCCAACCCACTTCCCAAACGGAGGCTTAATATCTTGAGTCATCATAATATATTTTATATATGTTTTGGTTTATCATAATTTATTTTATATAATTTGTATTTTATAAATTATATTA